CTTCAGTTTAGCTTGTTTCTTGCGCTAGCGCCGAGCTTAATACATATAAGGCAATATAGCGTCAGCGCTAGTGCAAAGGCTAACAGGCTAAGCTGAGGTTCTTCTTCCATGAAGCAGCTCTGTTGTCCTCCATCCATATTTTCAGTTACAGACTGAGTCATTTCTACCTTCTCCTCTCTGTCAACGCTCTCTGGTTTCATTTAAAAGAGTCGATCGTCAGATATTGTCCAAGATTGACCTTCAGGGTGGATATAGCTCGCTAGCAATCTCACACCAAGGACCTAGTTGATGTCATCATTTACCCAGAATGCTTTGCGTGTAAATAAAATGGCTCCGTCAGTGTTAAAATATATGTAAAAAAATTACAAACTAAACAGCCTACAGTATTTTTACAGTCTTTATTTACAGTTAAAGAATATGTTTATCAAATAAAATTTAATGTTACAACTAATCGGGGATCCCTTTAAAGGGGGTGGGCCTATGTGTAGGACTCTCAGATAGTGGCATATCTGATCTAGGCTCTTCCTACAGCTCAAAGAGGGTACCCGGATTTCCCTGTTCTGTGATAAACAGCTTAGCTCTGTTGAGGTGGGGAACTTGTTTCCTGTCGTGTCCCTTCATCACCTGACAAAAAGCTGCTATTTTCCCTCTGTGATGAAAGTGAGTTGTCTCAAGCAGACTTCAAATATCGTGTTCATGAGTGATGGAAAAATGAAGTGACAGATGGAACAGTGCGTTGTGGCGTCACCTTCAATAATCAGCATGGTGCTGCGGTCTGTTATGAAGAAGCGATGGTGGTTCAGGCGTGTGATTAGGATGTCTGCTTGGTGCCACAGCTTACTGACAGGAGACCCCCAGAGCAGATTCACAACTTGCTGGAGATTATTTTGATTATTTGACATAAAGAGGAGCCACCACCCCCTTCATCATCACCTAATGATGCTTGGGTTTAGACCTGTGTCATTATGGAGGACCGACTCTGGCATAATTAGAAATAAAAGCAGAAATATATAAAGGGACTAATAAATAAATAAATACCCTTCAGCTCATGTTTTATCATTTAATTGATCTTCATATTTATTTTTCCAGCTAAGTTCCAATAAATTAGGGCTGCACCAATTAATCGATTAATCGACAACTAATCGATTATTAAAATAGTCGATGACTAATTTAATAATCGATTAATCGTTTTCTTTTTTATTTTTGTTCTTTACTTTGTTTATCTCTCCAAACTGCTTTGACACCTTCCACTGCCACATCTGCCTTTCTGTCCTTGACACACATGCACAGTAGTGGTAACTGGGGTAGGCCGTGGACGTCACAAGTAGGGCTGCACCGATTAGTTGAAATAATCGATGACGTCGATTATGTAAATTTGTCGACGCAGATTTTTTATTATCGATTCGCTGTATTACATAACCACCACGTGAATGTTCATGCAATTCCATTTCGGTACCTAAAAGCATCATTGCGACCGTATTGGCATAAGAGTGGTGAGTTTTTCATGAAAATATTACAATTACAATAATATTACAATTACAGAAAATATTACAATATTACAGAACTGTTCTTGTTAATTTGATGAAAACATTTTAAATTTCCAGTGCACTCACATCAGAATAACTTHTAGATTTGTTGTTAGAATAATCGATTAATCGAAAAAATAATCGTTATATGAATCGATTAGAAAATAATCGTTTGGTACAGCACTACAATAAATGTTATATTTTACCACATATTTTTAAATTTATATATTTTTTTCTTTTACATGAACATGAATCTAGGTCTCTTAAATTATCATTTTTCCACCCCACAAGTCTTTTTATTTCCACGTGTTGCTTTTAAATTTCTGTGTCTGCTGTCTTCTTATGCATTTCTGCCTCGTTATACAAAAAAGGTGGGCGGAGCTTCTTGGGTCAGCTCCTCTCCTATTGGTCAGCAGACAGGAAGGAGCATGATCCATATGCAGATCTGTACTGTGCTGCCTCAGTTTAGCTCAAAGTTTAATTAAAAATAAAGGCACAGATAAGTGTTTTTCCTCCTTGATTTCACATTATTTTGTACTTCCTGTTAGGTAGTTTCGTGTTTGTGTCATCCTGGCTTCAGCTCCTCACACCTACACTTCCCCTGATCATCAGCCCAGATGGATGCATTCACCTGTATGCTTTTCAGGTCATCTGGAATTCTTACTGTTTGTTACCTGTTTTTGTTGTTTGTTTGTTTTTTCCTTATTTTCCTGCATCGTCCTTTTATTTTATTCACGTTTCAGCCCCTGTCAGTCACTTCACTCACTCTCCATGTTCTGTAGGTTTAAAGGGTGAGCATGCAGTGCAGATGCCACGAACCTCCTGTTTGAGCAGCTGCAGTTCTTCACTCAGGCCTCTCCAATCAGACTCCGCCGCCTCTTTGTCCCGCTGGCACCTGAGGGCCCGAGCCTCAGCTAGGGCCCTGCTCTTCTCAGCCTCTCTCCTGGAGCCCTCCGCCTCCTCTGCAGTTCTGGAGCACGACGCTGCCCTCTGCTGGCTCTGCTGCAGCTTCTGTTTGAGCTGATGGACAACCAGGGGGCCTTTCGCATTACTGGTGCGTACGCACATAAAGGTTGCGTGCGCTATGGTCCGTGCACACATAGGCACGGTGTGAGCGAAACCACGCAAACCTCCATGTAATCATTTTCAGTCAACAGTAAAAACAGTACATTCAGGATTTATGGTTTAAACTCTCAACCTCTTACAACGCCTCAAAAATGATCCAAACCATCTCAGTCTGATGTCAACTGGAAGGTTTCTTCTATTTTTGTCACCTGTTGATGTAAACACGTCCGGGACTGGAAGCTTGCGAGCTGAAATATCTTAACGGGCACGTCTGCTCTCACTGAGGAACGTGCGTTTGTGTTTACAGTAATTACTTTAACAAACACAAACGTAAAGCTGGAAACGTTTCAGTCTCAGAAGTGCACCGCCTGCAGACCCGCACTCCAGCTTTACTTAACAATAAAGATATATGTACAGGAAGTACCGTCTACTATTGAAATAGAGATAATGGGCAGCTGTTATCTGCTTTATTCCCACTTCTATGTCTGACCTTCTTAACTTCATGTTGTATTAAGTAAAGTTAGGTTTTTTTTCCAGCAGTCTTTGTTTTCCTGCTGTTGAATAGAGGCGTGTCAGGGGACAGGTCTCAGTTCCATGCTCATTAGGATGTATTCATGATGTATGAAGGTTTATTAAATGCTTGCTTCACACTCCCTGATACATGAAGCCTCAGACGACAGAAAAGGTCAGGAAACTGTAGAGGCCTGCCTTTGTTTCTGGATGTAATCTGAGCTCTGGGTACAGTGGGTCAGTGTAAAAGGTCTGCTTTAGTTTACAGAATGAAGGTGTTAATTCAGAGTTACCATATGAAACTAATTCTCACGTTTATATAAGTTAACAATAAGTCCTTAGCTGATATTTTTTGCATCAATGATCAACATAAACATCAAATTACAAAACTTTACTTAGTGCCTGAAAAGTGAGAAAATACCTTAAACCAAGTGTTTGCATTTAAAATTATGGAAAATCTAAACCAAAGTTTGCTCCTGAGAAGTTGAGGAAAAACATGCTCACATGCTATGGAAGCATATTGCTGCCACGTTTTTGTTTGTATTATTTAGTTTGAATATGTAAATTATAACTAAGCTTCCCACTTATTACAGATGAACATGCATTTGACAATATTAAATTAAACCTAAGGAAGAACAATAACTGAAGAACACTATAACAAAAAATAAATAAATAAAATATTCATATATGTACTAGTAAGCAGTTTATTAGTACATATATGAATATTTTATGGTTTGATCCTGAAAAGTGACTTATAAATGACTGAAAAGTGATTTAAAAAATAAATAAAATATTCATATATGTACTAATAAGCAGTTTATTACATTAGATAAAATGTACAAAGTTGTCTCTTCAAATAGTTAGCCTACTTTAATATGTTGTGTGTCTTAACAGATTTAGTTTTATTGCTTCATAAAGTGTTCACAAACTCACAAACAATTTATAAAGAATTAAGAAACCCTTCATAAGGTACTTGTATTGTAAAATAGTATCTAACTACCCGTAATGCATTAATGGTAAAACCTTTGGTTATCTTGTGAAAGATTTATGGTTTTAACAATAATTTTTTCACATTACACAGTTATTTATTTTGTGATGGCAGCAATAGGTTTGTATAATTTTCTGACAAAGAGTAAAGCAATAAAGATTGTGTTCCTCATATTATAAACACTTTCATAAAAGTTATCAATACTGAAGGTACAAACCTTAAGATCCTGATAATAAAGTTACCAAATTATAAGAAATTTTTTTTAATCTATATTAGTTTAAAGATGTATTAAAATGTATTTGTTGAATTTCTTTCAGTGTAAAACCATCAAAAACAACAAATCAACATGCTCCTGTGTGTACCCACATTTATCCTGAGGACTTTGTATTGTGACTTGATAAAGTGACAGTTCAGATAATGATGACTTTTTGGATTCTAATTTCTAAAATGATATTTTTTTGCGTCGTAATTAATTGTACTTCTGTTACTATTAGCCTGATATTCTTCTGTTTCTAACAATTTCTGATTCATGTTTCCTCATTTGGAAGTACGGAGCTTAATCCAGAAAAATGTACAATGAAATGTGGTGCTAGTACATCATGTACACAAACACAAATTGGAAAAAAAAAACAATGTCACACATACCAACTTCTGAGCTGTTTAAACATTTTACATTTATCAAACGTTTGTTTATTTTCACAATAGTCACACTTCTTATATTATTTATACATTTTGTATTCTTTCATACATGGACTTTGTTTTTTTTTTTTATTTCCCCCAGAGTGCACACCTCCAAATTCTCAGTAACGTCTGTTTTATATGAGCTCAGAATTTTCTCTCCAAAACTGAAAATAAAGTCTCATTTTAAATTGTGATATGTAGAAATGATCATGTTACATTTTAGCGATATTTTTAATAAAACCAACAGTTTTCGAACAGTGAATATTTGTTTGAGGCCTTATTTTAACTCTGCGTCTGTCTGTCTCACCAAGAGTGGTGTGTTTACCATGCTGACACCACTTACCCTTGTTTTGTTTTTCTTTTCTTTTCTTTTATACCTCATACAGAATCTGTCATCAAATCTTAGAGCTGTGGAAACCAATGAAAGAGTGCACAGCTCCAATCAACACAATGTTTCATATTGCTCGTATACTGTAAAAAACACATGCTGCAGCTTTATCACATTATTATGGTCAAACTGCACCCAGTTTACATAATGAAATCTTAGTGAGGTTAAGTATTTGAATGTCCTAATGGTTAAAAACTACAGTGTGTGGTCTTTAGGCGTACCTCTTTCACTTGCAGCTGCAGCTCCTGGTTCATGTTCCTCAGGTTCCTCATAGTCAGCTCGCTCTCTGTGCGCATCATGATCCTCTCCATGTGGATTTCATTTGATAAATGCTTGTTTTCTTTCTTCAGGTCCTCACATTCCTGAGGGCAGCAGACATGGTTAATGGGTGTGTGATGAGGAGCTAAAACGTGTTTGTGATCTAAAACACATAAAACACCTCATTCTAACCTGCTGAAACTTTTCTATTGACTGTTTTTTGTTATTTTTTATGACTTATTTAAAATGGTCACTGATCTGTGGCTAAAGGTCCCCTCCTGACCTCAAGACATTAAAAAGTACATCGGGCTTGATATGGGTGTTTTAAAAACAAGATGTTTTCTCATCACCTTCAATAACGGGAACCAGAACTGCTACTGAATGATCTTTGTGAAGTGATTTCCTCCCTCTGGTCAGTGAGATAAATGGGCTCAAATGTTTCATTTGGCAACTTGCAGATTTCCACAAATTTAAGGCTGTCAAACTGGCAGGTAGTTTGTCTTGCTTTCATCTAAAACAGGGGTGGGCAATCATGGTCCTCGAGGGCCGCAGCCCTACCTGTTTTACGTTTCCCTACACCAGTGGTTCCCAAAGTGTGGGGC